TCGATCGTATAAATGAAGTATTGATCAGGATAAACCGAACAATTAGCACAGATGAAATCGCATTGAAATACAAACTCGATTAAAGTTTAGAATCACGTTTAGCCTGTAGAATTGCCGCGTGTTTGTTTACGCTTACTGCTTAGCACGCGCATTCGCGTAAAATAAAGCATGTTTGTGTTATTACCCGACGCAGTGCGCCGCGGTCATGGCCCATTCGCTACTGATGATCGAGGCACCGCAAAGGCAAAGGTGATGGTTAGTTTGCAAGCTTAGTTGATACAGATGCTCAGTGATGTCCACCCTGGTTCCTCCGATAATACGGGGATCCGCGAATAACGGAAGCAATACGGAGCCTGCAACGTTAATTATTAACCAAATTCCAAATGCACATTTCTTTTTTCTCATTATTTTATTAATTATTTTATTGTGCTGTACAGAGTATTCCCAATTTAAAAATCAAAACTTCATATGCATACAAATAATGATCTTAATCGGATATCACGGACGATGTGTACTTTAGGCCACAATCCAATGAGTTATTAGGCATAATAACTAATATTCTAAATATATGCATATTAAGCACATTAGAAATCAGAAGAAAAGCCTTAGATTTATTTCTAAGATTCTTTTATTTATAAGCTTATCAGTGGTATCACACCTTGCCCTGACTCCAGTAATAAATCCAAAATTAACGTTTCAGCTAAAATCTTGAGAAAACATGAATTATTATTTGTTGTACATTATTGTACTGTGTGCAGGTATTACAATGCGATTAATCAGATGATCATTCATACCAATTTTGTCTACTCTAAAGATCTATCTACACTAACGTCACGTCGCCGTCACGTCAACGGCACGTAGAGTCTCCGTAGGTTGTAGGACGTACGTTCGACAGCGGAACGAGTGCTGTAATCTTTAGGACAAGATATAGGGAAAAGCATGTAAAAACAGGGAGCTCAGGAGCCCACGTTTAACATCGAATTGGCAGGTGGATTGTCTGCTGTTTTGCGTTCACTACCTGCTTCGAGGGTTCTTTTGCTTTTACTACAGGCTACAGCACTGGTTCCACTGCCGAACGTACGTCTTACAACCTACGGAGACCCTACGTGACGTTAGTGTAGATAGATCTTAAGACGGATATTTTCTCCAGGTCTATGTTAAAAACCAAGTATATTCCTCTTTTTTCCCAATGACTTACTCTTGACTATCTCTCTCACATTCACATACAATAATATTATGTTACTCCCAGTTATTATTATTTTTCATTATAGTTATTGTATGTTATCATATTTTTATATTTAACTTATATTATATGTATTTATATTTACTCTAATCATCGTTATATATCGTTTTGTTACTCTGTGCCAATGGTTTTATAAACCTGTATGTTAATAAATAAATAAATAAATATGGTGACTGGGTATGAGAACGAGAGAATACCCTTCGTTTATACTTACCGAGACACGCGGCGACGAGAGCACAGAGGAGTAGAACAGTTCGCAACATCTTGGAGCGTTTTAGAGATCGGTTAGGGAACTGCTTTTATAGTGAAAAATTGTTCCTCTGATGGAGTAAAATATTCTTATCTGACTAAGACATTTGCGTGTTACAAGCGCTAACTAGGCATTCATAATATCTGTTACGTGGAAATTCGGATTAATAGTACGCTGATGTAGATTAGTACAGGAACAGTGGTCTGATTTTGTTTTCGAGTGGGTGTTATACTTCCTCTTTTACATTCCTTGTCGCCGATTGTCTTGCGTAATGTGTATCTCACACAACGTTATTTGAATTATTTCTGTGAAGTATTTACTTAATATTTCTTTTTTATTGAGCTTATTTATTATTAATTATGAGGTTGACACGTTCGAGATAACCCACTGGAAAAGGAAACTATTCATAATTCCTCGTTTCAATTACAAAGAAAATTCCTTAAAGTGACGCATCTTGGTAGTAGGAGATTCAATTTTTAGCTTAAAGTATCAAAATTAGAATGAGATAAAAATTTTTAATTAAAAGGATAATTTTCTAATGTTATCAAGTAAAAACTGTCAATAACTTCACCGCAACAAGCTGTTTAGTAATATTGTAGAGATAATATACACCTTTAATATAGGCCCTACGTAAAAAAATTCATATTTGTCACTTTTACTTAAGGGTTACAAATATACTATACATAGAAGGAAGGCATAAAAGTTAAAGAAAAGTTAAAGATCATTGTATGTAAATCCCTTATCAAGCTCAATAACCTTTGGAAGGGGACAACGCGTTATCTGCATATTATCTGATATTAAAAACGATCAAAACGTTTAAGAGACTACGTTCTTTTATCGCAACAGATAGTACACCATATGAGAGAAATAACAACACATACTTATAATAAAGATAAACAAATTTTATTTATATCCTTCGCAGTTTGTACATATTATGTCTTTCCATATCGTTAGTTATAAGATAGGGTCCTCACGTTCCGCCTGAAGGTTAGAAACCATATCGGTGGGATTCCCCTACCCCTACTACGACGTAATTTTTTCTCTTTGCAATCTGGGAGATATCAGTGGACATACCTTGTCCCTGTATTAATCTTAACAAGAAAAGAATGTTCTGTAGAAACTTTACCAAAATAAATTTTTTATCACATTCCGTGTACTAATTTACCCCAACGTACTATTAATTTGAATTCACGCGTAACAGATACTACGAATTATTAATTAGCGCTTGTAACGCGCAATACATCGTAGTCAGATAAGAATATTTTGCTCCATCAGAGAAACAATTTTTCGCAATGAAAGCCATCCCCTGATCGTGATCTCCAGAACGCTCCAAGATGCGAACTATTCTACTTCCCGGTGCTCTCGTCGCCGTCTATCTCGGTGAGTGTAAACACCGAGGAGAGATTAGTAATCTCTCCTCGGTGGTGTAAACAACGGCTATTTTCTCGTTCTCATGTCCAGACACTGTCAGTTATTATTATATTGAGGATTTGATGCAATTATAAAAAAGTTAAGACCGTGTAGAAATAATAAATTCGGGATATCAAAAGTTGAATACATATTTTAGAGTTTAACTGATTGAATAAATGTTTATGTAAAACAAACCTTTAAAATTGATACCACAAATGTTTTTTGCATAAAAGTCCGCAGTCTATTTATTAGTTTATAAGCAAATCTCCGAAGAACTTGTGTTATTAGTTTATCGATCCTCTATACATTCCCGAAATTTTGATATTAAAATAGTGGATCCTGTATAAAGCAATAAAATAATGAAGAAATAGAATAAGACGATGAAGTAGAAATGTGCATTGGAATTTGATTAACTATTAATACTGCGGGCGCTGTCGGGCAGGCCATGCTATCCAATTGTAGCCGTATCGTTGAAGGAACTAAGGCGATATCAAGAAAAGGCGGACATCACTGAACATCCGACTGAGTTTGCCAGCTGACCATCATCGTTGCGGTGCCTCAATCATTAGCAGCAAATGGATCCTCACCGCGGCGAGCTGTGTCGGATAATAATGCGAACACGTTTTATTTTACGCGAATGCGCGCGTTGAGCAGCCGTGAATAAACATGCGGTAATTCTACGGGTTAAACGCGATTCAAACTTCAATTGAGTTCTAACTCCAATCCGATTTGATTGCCGTTAATTGTTCAGTGTACGACGCTCAATAATTAATTTATAAATGAAATTTCAAAATTCGAGTGAATAAAATCATAACACGTATTACATCTTTATTTGCAGATTTAGTATGATGTTAGTATGTATACGCAGAATTGAATCTCAAAGTTCATTTAAAAACTTTCACTTGTAGTTCCTTCATAAATTTTGTATGTGATTCTCGAATTGCATAAAGGTGCTGTTCAGTATTTTCGCGTATTAGGAAACCGTTTCGCTCATCGCGATAACAGTTGTGAAGCCACGCACGCGATATTAAATCGGCTTTGCGGCTCGCATTCCGTACCAATTCGCCGACTATTATAATCTATAATAACAATGAGGCCGTCAAATACCGCGCGCATATTCCGGAAAACAAACACAGAGGTAGAGTTCCGTCGAAGCGAAACACCGCACCCCAAGCACAAAGAGAATACTTGGAATCGTTCGCATTTTCATGTTTCATCAATTACAGATCTAACTCTGTCCGATACATGGTCCGAGCAGGTAGCAGCAAGCTGAACTCAGGTAACATTTACACCGTAAAAAACATTATTCGACACCCCAACTACAACTTTACAGATTTTGATTACGACCTCGCCCTTCTCCATGTATGTAAAATACTATATATTCAATGAATAACTAAAGCAGTTTTACTCTCATTGTAATGAATGCAGATTAAACCTTTGATTTGCTAATATTAGTCTTCGATCAAAATTTTAATTAGCACAATATTGACATATGTATAATGTAATAAACTGATATTTTAAAAAATTTGAAAAATAAGCAATTGAATTGAATTGTTTATATTTTCTGTTTAACGGCTGTATTGATAATACAACGCAGCCTATAAAACTGGCAACCGACGAACTTCCGGCTGAAACTATAATGAATGTAACTGGTTGGAGCACCATCGTGATAAATGAATTACACATTTTACTTCAAATGCAACAGATTATTATTTATTAAATGAATCTTAATAAGTCAAGGAAGAACGTTTGTTATAAAATTACATTTTCGAAAACGTTAAGGTTTTCGATTACTGATTATTGACTTGATTGTTTGACTGCGGATTTGATGAGTTTATGCCAAAATGAAGAACGTAAAAAACGTAAAAAATTGCATAATAAATGCATAAATAAAACGTAGAAAAGTGCATAAAATATAAATATGCGTAAAATGCATAGCATGATGTTTAAAAGATTAAAGATTTAAAGGGCATTATTATTATTATATCATTTCTTAAATACTGTTTAACGGCTGTATTGATAATACAACGCAGCCTATAAAACTGGCAACCGACGAACTTCCGGCTGAAACTATAATGAATGTAACTGGTTGGAGCACCATCGTGATAAATGAATTACACATTTTACTTCAAATGCAACAGATTATTATTTATTAAATGAATCTTAATAAGTCAAGGAAGAACGTTTGTTATAAAATTACATTTTCGAAAACGTTAAGGTTTTCGATTACTGATTATTGACTTGATTGTTTGACTGCGGATTTGATGAGTTTATGCCAAAATGAAGAACGTAAAAAACGTAAAAAATTGCATAATAAATGCATAAATAAAACGTAGAAAAGTGCATAAAATATAAATATGCGTAAAATGCATAGCATGATGTTTAAAAGATTAAAGATTTAAAGGGCATTATTATTATTATATCATTTCTTAAATTAATAACCTACAAGTTTTATTTCACATAAAAATCCAGTCTAGTATATAATTGCATTTCTGTTACATGATTTAAAATTTTTATACACAGCATAATGGTAGAACTGAACTATATCATCTCGATAATTAACATACAGATGTAGATGTACGACCATGGAACGGAATATTAACAACGACATTAGTACTGTTTTCTTATTTGTTCATAATTTATACTAAAATTTATATTTTTATTTATAGGAAGATGAATCACCCGTGTCATATTTGAAGCGAGTAGATGTTCCCATAGTGGGTAGGAACAGGAACCAATGCAAGGAGATTTACGGACAGAATGATATGCGCTGGTTATATGCAAGGCGGCAAAGACGCTTGTTTGGGTTCCTCAGGCAGCCCTCTAGTAGCCAATGATATCCTCTACGGTATTGTGTCCTGGGGCCAGGGGTGCGGGAGACCTAACTATCCTGGTGTTTATTCAAATGTGGCAAATCCACGATCTTGGATCGAGAACAATAACGGTGCTTAATTTAAGAAACGTGTGATTATAAGAAATAAGATAATAAATAATTTGCTACATAAAATCAATTTTATTAATTACTATAATACGTATGGTTATACAGGGAAAAATTGAAGAATTAATCCAGTACACTTTCAATCATCGTACTTTCCTCTACTCGATTCGATATTGTAAACGATATTGGAACGAACGGAACTGAAAATAGCTCATTCGATGAAACTCTGGAGTCTTTCTGACCTCACAGCATATGTTACAGTCTTAACAATTCTTGGAATTACCGTGTTTACAGCATTTTTTTTAATAATTACGAAATACAAGTTGAATTACCGTGTTGTACATTTAGAAATTTACCAGTAGTTGCGAATTAGTCTGTTGCAAATATTAATAAGTGCGTATGACCTTTACATTTTAGTATGTAACTAACCAACCAATTGTATTTTAGCTTATGGACTATGTGGAAATACGGTGAGTAAAATAACTACGTCCAAAAGAAATATCAATTTAATTTCGACATCTATTATCTAAATCAGCAATTCATTCATTAGAAATTAATGTTATCTAACGCTTATCAGAAGTCAGAAATGAAAGGGAGAAAGGTCATCATTGCTCTCATCGATAATAGCTCGACGAGTTCAAATAAGTCGAAACAATCACGAGATCAGTATTAAAAATGTTAAAGGAATTAACAAAAAGTTGAACACAATTTGATTGATTTAGTGGAATAGAATCCTTCTACATATACATATATGTTACAATTGAAAGCAACACTTAACTAGTCTGTATATAACAACAGCATAACTAGTCTGCGAATTTTTATGCAATGTAAAACGTGTGTGATATCAAGAAGTAAAATCTAGATTCAAATTTCTCTTACGTTTAAAAATAATGATGTATATTATACTTCTTATATGTCTTATGTCCAACTCTTATTTGCGATTTTTATGTCTTCAGCATGAAACCGAATTGCTCTCTGAGAATTCGGCGAGTCGTGTCTCCGTAGGATGGAGGACTCGGGATTGTGGGAATCGGAGCACAATAATTCGCGAATTACTGGATACGAAAACGTATATTTCACTATATTAGAGTTAATGCTGCGTAGGTCGTTCGCAGAGTCGCCGTAACTATCCGTGACCTTCTCCCGGACTCGATTAAGACTAATACGAATTATCCGAGAATGAGCAATACAATACTGACCAGTATGAGTGGCTAACGTTTGTACAATTTTTATGTTCGGTTCTAGCGATCGACAAATTACAAATCAAGTATACAGGGTGAGTCTCCTAACATGACGACCTCAAATAACTCGTAAGGTATTCGTCGTACGAAAAAATGTTTTAAACAAAAGTTGCATGGTATCCAAGGGGACATACAGTGCTCGAGTCTGTTTTTTATTACCTTTCTTTTTTATTGAGATATTACAGTCACCTTCAGTTTTTTAAATGGAATGTCTAACATTTTTGTTCAAATTCGGATAAATCATCAAATTTTCCGTAAAAAAAGGACTACACAGAGTGGGACTTCAAATGAATAATTACTGAGAAATACGCTCAGTCAACGTGACATTGTTTACGACGGCAGGTCATTTCTGTAAACAAGTTCCCTGTTGAATGTTAGAAATCATCAACACGAATATCCTCTTTAGTATCTCAGTAAGCGTTAAAGTCGTATTGAGAAAGGTGCTACATTTTTATTACGATGTTCAGCAACAGTGAAAAATACGATATGATAATTGTTTCTGGTGCGTGTGAAGAAAATGCTGTAAGAGCTAAGATCTTGTACCAAGCTAAGTATCCTGATCGAAATCAGCCATCGCATTCTACCTTCTTAAGACTTAGTCAAAGACTCAAAGAACATGGCAATTTGAATGTACAGAAACGTAAAAGGTATCGTAAAATTGTAAATAACGAAGTATGTCGTATTTCAACCTTAGCAGCTATTGCCCATAATCCGCACATCAGTACACGGCAGATTTCGCATGGTATGGACATTTGTCAAAGCAGCGTTGTGCGTATTCTTGATTCGGAGAACTTTCATCCGTATCACCTGTCAGTACATCAAAAGCTACATGAACGAGACTTTGAAAAACGCGTACAGTTCTGTGAGTGGTTTTTGCATCAGATGCAAGATTCAAATGGTTCGTTTGTACAGACTATTTTATGGACTGACGAAGTCACATTCACAAATTGCGGAAATGTTAATACAAAAAATAACCATTATTGGGCAACAGAGAACCCACATTGGCTTCGTGAAGTTGACCATCAACACAGGTGATTTGATGTTTGGTGCGGCATAATTGGTCACCAGATCATTGGACCGTACTTCTTTGAAAGATCACTAACAAGTCAAACATACTCCACATTCTTATCTGAAACACTGCCGAGCCTATTAGAAAATGTACCATGTTTAATACGTCAAATAATGTGGTATCAACATGACGGCTGTTCAGCACATTATGCTCGACAATCGCGGCAAGTATTAAATAGAATGTTTCCTAATCGTTGGATTGGACGTGGCAGTAACATTGGTTGGCCAGCTCGTTCACCAGATTTAACGCCGCTGGACTATTTCCTTTGGGGAACATTAAAAGATGGAGTTTATCACGAACCACCAACCACAGCGGAAGATATGCGAGAACGTATTATTAGTGCATGTGCTGCAATAACCACGGAAACACTGGAAAAAGTTCTTCGCTCACTGACAATTCGATTACGTAATTGCATTGATTGTAATGGACAGCAATTCGAACACCACTTGAAATAAAACTTCTTTTATAAATATCTCAGTAATTATTCATTTGAAGTCCCACTTTGTGTAGTCCTTTTTTACGGAAAATTTGATGATTTATCCGAATTTGAACAAAAATGTTAGACATTCCATTTAAAAAACTGAAGGTGACTGTAATATCTCAATAAAAAAGAAAGGTAATAAAAAACAGACTCGAGCACTGTATGTCCCCTTGGATACCATGCATCTTTTGTTTGAAACATTTTTTCGTACGACGAACACCTTAAGAGTTATTTGAGGTCGTCATGTTAGAAGACTCACCCTGTATATTACTATATTGACGTACGTATCCAAGACGCACGCTTAGTTCAGGTACGAGCACGATAGTTCCGGTCGCAGAGGGGCTCGTGCTTAGACACTCCTTTACGAATATCACAGTTTCATTAGACGGATCATTCAAACTCTCGCTAACGCCGCATATAGATGCACTCGGTTCGGGAATCGGATTCGAAGTAGGCTAGAGTTGGGTAATACAATATTGATATAGCAAGTATCGATACTTTTAACCCGATATATCGAAAAAATGTATCGATATTTCTCATACCGATATTTATTAGTTTGTCCGTACTGGACAGGCCTAGTATCAGAAGTAGTATCAGAAGAAGTATTTTTGTTTAATCTTCGTTCATCGAAATTCAGTGAGAAGCACAGTTAATCGTCCCGTTGAAACTTTTAATCCGCGATCACGTCACAAAGACGATGCCGAGAAATCGTAACGATTCTCATAGTTCAAGGCGGAGATTCCATCGCCAACGACTGGTTCATAGCTAATTAATTAGTTTTCGACCGGGACCGACTTCCAGTGGCCGCTTCCGCTTCTTTTTCTCGTTCCTCCCCGAAACGGTGACCCCGTTTATCCCGCGGGGAAACTTTCCTAATAGAAATTCTTGCCGCGATTATTTCACGGCAGGAACGAGTTAAAAGCCGGCCTCGCGAACAAGCGAAACGTCGCCTACCGTTAACGAAACGAGGGGACGAGGGTGATTCGGACTCGAAGAAAGTACTTTCGAACGTTTGCGTTGAAAGTGGAACTGAGTGACAGAGGTATTTCAGACGCTTTTATTACGTCTGCTTTTAAAGATCGTTTTAATGCCTGTTCAACTGTTAAGTACTTGGACAATCGACGTTTCAAAGCACTCATTTATTCAGCGGCGTGTTTAAAAAGAGATCCGTTAATGCAATCGGCAGTTTTAGATACATTGATAGATGCCTCCTTCGATGCAAGTTTATGAAAATAGCCATACTTAACCAACTTTTATCAGCTAACTAACAATAATCCTTAAAAACGTCCTTAAATCCATCTTTCAAACTCATCATTTTAAGTCAAGATTGCAGTAAAAAAAGATTCGGGAAATATGTAGATATAATTAAATTTATAACACATATTTTGCATTTGCCTAATTTCTGTAATTGTCGTACATCAAATTAACAATAATTGAATATACTAAATATTACGTCTTGTTCATATACACATATTAGGGTTGGTTTTCTTATAAATTAAAGATTGCACATGTATTAAATTAAGTCAAGTTAGATTACATAAAATTATATGAAATCTTGAAACTTATAGTAACTGAATTACTGAGTTACATCTCATACATTTAGTTACTTATACATTTTGAAACATAATATATGCGATCAATCGAGTCGATGTGGTTAGAAAATGTAAATGAATTCAACGTCCTGTATAGCAATATCTTTAGGGTAGCAGAATGTACCAGATCAAATGTCCTGCAATATGTATTTCAGCAGGCATGGCTGTCTACTTATACGCCATATTTTGAGGATTGTTACGACGGGGAAAAAGAGTATCGCGACAGGCTGTGCACACTTGCCGACATCGACAGCCACCGTCGATTAACATATAAATCAAATCTCTCTCTCTCTCTCTCTCTCTCTCTCTCTCTCCCTCCCTCCCTCCCTCTCTCTCTCTCTCTCTCTCTCTCTCTCTCTCTCTCTCTGCCAGGACAACAACCTTACCGTCCAATCTCCCTTTCATCTTGGTTACCCTTCTGATTATTTCCATTTAAAATACAACCGAGAACATGTTTGTTTTTAAGTCGTCAATGTCAATTTTTTTGATATTATTAAATAAAATACCAATTTATAGACTGATGGAAAATTTAGTGACATGTTTAATGATCAAATGTTTAAAGGTTTTAAATGTAAACTTTTAAAAAAGTAAGACAATTTTATCATTTACGATACACATTATTTTACCAAGAGAAATCATGAAAAATTTTGCCAATGAAGCTTGTTACAATTACAAGACCATAAATTCGGACATTCGATTCCATAAGTATACTTTCCAAGAACTAGAATTTCTCTGGAATCCTTGAACGATCTTGCAAACGCGTCAGTTACATTTTCGAATCTCGCAACACGGACCGAGTATGAAGTCTGGAAC